GACTATCATTTCTAGGATGGGAGAAAATGACATATGATCAGAGTTGGACCATCTGGGTGGAAAAATCACCCATCATCTATTTAACATGACTTTCCTTGTCAGAGAATATCCACCCCCCCCCACTCCCTACCTCCATCCTAGACTGAATTTAGCATCCTTTGTCTTGGCTGGCCTGAGGGATTTCTTGCTCGGATGTTCCCATTGCTCCACCTCATAGAGTACTGTGGGCCACACAATCAGCCAATTGGAGGCCAGGAAAGTGGTCATTGGTCACCTAGGTTGCTTTAGTAGAGGCCTGGACTGACTATAATGCTCATCAACTCAAATATTCCTGTAACGGAGACTGATGAAGGACCGGAAGTTGCCTGCTCTCAGCAACTAAGAGAACCAGATCAGGCAGAGGCTGATTGGGTCTGACATTACCTGCTGTGTGACCCCAGGCAAGTCACTGAACCTTTGGGGCCTTTCAGCATGAACTCTGATTTGATCGATTCTGGTGTGTTTTTCTTCTTCAAATCTATCGATCTATATTTATATACATTTGTTTTGTGGCAAGGCCTTGCTACAATAGCCCAGGCTAGCTTCAAACTCACGATCCTCCTGTCTCAGTTTCCTTTGTGCTAGGATTACAGGCATGTGTCGCTACGCCCAACTTTCAAATCTTTTTCCAAGAACATAAGTATAAAGAGGGACAGGTTGGGGGTATTGGACACTCTTATGAGGAAAAGAAAGAGACCTCTGATCAGAGATGGAGAGAGTACTGAAGGAAGAAGAGAGAGACACCAGAGAGGACAAACCACCCACCTGCACTTACCTTGTGTTTTTGAGATGAGGTGGAAAGGGAGGAATTAGCGGGGACCCATTTGAAGGTGCAGAAAGACCATGAGCCACATCCACTAATAGGCAGCAGGAGCTGTGTGGGATGTTCTGGGTTAGATGACTGCCTCCTGGTTTCAACAGTGTCTATATCAGGAAGTCAGGTGCTGGCCACATGCTGAGCACTAGTAGATTGTTCCAGTGGGAAGCTGGAGGCCAGAAGTTCTATTGTTCATGAGTAGTCTTTCCCCCTGAAATTCATCCTGTGAAGAGCAAGGGACCTCGGCCGTAACCCTCCTGTCAACTGTTCCTAGACACTGGAAATGGCCAGATGCGTCTGGTAGGAAACAAATGAAGTTTTTAGGGACTTTTTGAAGAGAGAGGGAATGGGCTGGTGGTGTGAGGCCAAGGCTCAGCTTCTATGGCCCTGGCAAAGGGGAATGGAGAACCTAGGTGATGGGCTGAGGCCTATGAGAAGCCCAAGGGAGGTGTTGGGAGACCATGGAAGCTCAGGACAACAGGTTGGCATGGTGAGAGCATGGTGACAGACTTGAGAAAGTCTCAGGGTTTTACCAGGACTTGGCACCAGAACAGCCACGAGCCCCTTCACTTGCTCCGCCTGTGGGACAGAATGTCATTTTGTCAAGAGTTAGAGATGTTTAATAGGTTCAGGGACATCTGTCCTGAGGACAAAACGTGGAGAAAAGAGGCTGGTACTGATGTCACCTTCTTTAATCCAAATTACTCAGAAGGTAGAGGTAGGGAGACTGTGTTTCAAAGGAAAAGTGAGAGATCCTACCTGAAAAAACAAATTAAAAGCAAAGGACTTGGCTCAAGAGGCAGAGCACTTACCTAGTAAACACAAAGCTCCAAGTCCAACCTTTAGTACAATAACAACAGAAAGAAAGGAAGAAAGAAAGAAAGAAAGGAAGGAAGGAAGGAAGGAAGGAAGGAAGAAAGGAAGAAAGGGAAGGAAAGAAGGAAGAGAGGAAGGAAAAAATAGAAAATAAGGAAGGAAGAAAAGAAAAAGGCCTGAGCTTAGCAGAGAATGGGAGTGGCTTGAAACTCTGCAGCCAGCTTTTGATGCAACTCTAGTCTTTTGATCACAGGCCTCTCTCCAAGATTCCCACTGACCAAAGGAACCTGGAGTATGGGGAGGGAGCTGGAAAGAGGGTTGGAGCCTCCAACCTGGTAAGATAAGATTCAGTTCCAGCCTTCTCTTCATCCATCCTGTGGCAGACAGCATTTGTGACCCCCCAGTGACCCAGAGAAAATTCCTGTTATTAGCACAGAAGTCTTTCTTCTTTTTATAGGAGAAAATAACAATCATGTCTTACTCAAAGACTCTGTGTGTGTGTGTGTGTGTGTGTGTGTGTGTGTATGCATGTGTGGGCCAGCAGGCCTTCTCCTAGCTTCCCAACAAGGCCAGTAGCAGCCAGCCAGTAATTCTCTTAAGGAAAAAAAATGGAGGCAGGGGTTTGGAAGGGGAAAAAATGGGGACAGGGAAGATTTTGAGAATAAGTGAGAGTTTTCTTTCTTCTTCCTACTCCCATGTCCATCCAGGTAGCCCCAAGAAATGCCCAGAATTTCCATCACCAAATCAATTTCCCATGAGTCCACCTAATGCCCAAGGTAAATTTCCTGGAACATGTGTGTGTGTGAGTGTGTGTATGCATGTGTGCGCATGTGCACATGCGCGCACATGCATCAATACTAGAGCCTGAACTCAGGGCCTGGCTGATCTCCCTTAGCTATTTTGATCTAGGCTGGTAGTCTACCACTTCAGCCACAGATTCAGAGAGTGGTCTGGCTTTTTTACTGTAGATATCTCACAGACTTTTCTGGGCTAGGCTGGCTACAAAATCTTGATCCTTAGATCTCAGTCTCTTGAGTACAGGTATGAACCACCGATGCTGGCAAACTCCTGGAACTCTTCTAAAATTTCACCAAACATAGGTAAAGGATGATTTCCTGTGGAATTTGTTAAAATCAAATTGACTAAGAAGATACTCATTATACTCATTCACTCCCAGGTCTCCTAGCACTGCTCCTCACATAACCATGACCCAAATGTACTTTTTGAAGGACCACTTTAGACACATCAGAAAAGACATCTAAGCCTCTTGAAGAGGACATTTGAGCTGGGAATGGTGGCACACATCTATCATCCCAGAACTCTGGAGGCTGAGGCAGAAGGTTCTCAAGTTCAAGGACAGCCTGGGCTACATTAAGAAATCTTGTCTCAAAAGAGAGAGTGTGTGTGTGGGGGGGGTGCCATTTGTGGTTTTCTGTCCCACCTGCAAGTTCTCTGATCTGTTCAAAGAGAGAGGAGGGGCACAGAGATGCACAGGAGTCACTGGCTGCCTTTCTATTCTTGATACCACCCCAAACACACCCTGTAATGGTCGGGGGTCTCAGAAAATGACAGCTCAGTCTCTATCACAGGGAAGCTGTCCTTGTTTGTCCCTGCCCCCTCCACTCCAAAGAAGCATAGGCCAAGAAAAAGATCCTGTAGTGTATAGCTGATCTTTGGGTGTTAGAGCTGTCTGCAGCTCTTGGTAGTCGAAAGTAAGGCAGTGTCTGATCTTCCAAGCTCTTATACAGTTTGGCCTTAATGTCTCAGCCTTAGAATTCAGCTCAATACAGTGAAATGTCTGAAATCAGGAAGGGTATTTTGGGCACTGGATGTTGAGGGGAGGGATTCTGACTAGTCCCCTTGAACCTCTGCTGGAAGAATTGATTGGCTGGGAAGCTGACTCTAGTCCTGAGTTGAGAGAGTAAATCCAGGGCTGGGATTCCGAAATCCCTCGGGGTGGAAGTTGGAGCGCGGGTTTTCACAGAACTCGCCCGGACCTTGAAAGTGTCTCTTTGTTGTTTTTAAACGGAGGAATTCACGTTCGGCTGCAATCTGTGATAAAGTGGGGTGAGAGGACCAGGGCGCACACGTTTTGTATTTGCTTAAAAGGAAAAAGAAAAAAAACACCCACGAAAACAAGAGAGAAAGGTCGAGAAAGAAAGCCAAAAAATAATTTAAGGATGGTCCCGGTGGCCAGTTAGAAAGGTGAGAGAATGCGGCTTTGAAAACAGTTTACACTCTGCCCTTTAACTTCAATGCCTTTTCCTCCGACAGCTCCCGAGCAGACGTTTCAATTGACTCCTTTTGTACCGAGTTTATTGCTCAGAACCCCTAGGGTCTCGATTTGCTCTCAGAAGAAACGCGCCCCACTGCGCCGCTCTCCGAGGCCGCCCCTCCCGCCCGGTCTCCTCCATTCCTTTCTCTGGACGGCGGGCGGGGAGGGGAGGCAGGGGAGCCGGGCCGGCCCCAGACTCCGCCTGGCCCGTTGGGAACGTCTGGAAAGTGGGCCCAGGCTATCTCCTCCAACACATCCTCTGCTAACTACGCAAGCAAGAGCGATCGGAAAGTCTGGGGATACCATAAACACCCCAACCTGATTCCGGGCTGAGGTGCACTGCGGGCGGGTCAGCCCCAGCCAGTAACTGACCCCAGTCGCTCTCGGATTGCCAAGAGAGCCTGCGATTTCCATGCTGACCCCGGAGAGAGAGCGAGAGGCGCGGGGAAAGAATGCGCTCTCGCACCCGTAGGCTCTTTTGTGGATGCGGATGCGCAGAGACCCGGCGTGTGGCTTGCGCTGCGCTGCGCGTGCGGAGCCACAGCGGCCGCCGGGGCCGCAGGTGTCCCCGGGAAGCTGCGATCGGGGCAGGTACCGAAAGGCTGCCCGAAGGGTAGGAGGAGCCCCGCCTGCCTTCACCCCAAGAGCTGCGGTGCCTTTCACCCCGCCCCCGCCCCTAGCCACCGTCTCCAGGCCCCCAGGTCCCCTCCCCGCCGGCGCCCCGCGCTCTGATTGGCTGGCGCGCCGGGTTCCTGGCACGCGCCTGTGGATGTAGTTATAAGAATCCTCGCGTGCCAGCCCTCAGTTTCAGCAAGTCCGCCCCAGCCCTCCGCAGCGCAGCGCGGGCGCCAGCCAGAGCGCAGCGGCCCCAAGCACTCCAGGGAGGCCCCGGAGGCGGGGAGCCCCGCGGCTGCCCCGTGCCTCCTCTACCCCCACCCCCAACTCCCAGAACAAACCCCAGGAGGGAGGGGCCGCGCGCGGGACCCGCGAACTACAGCCAAACCCAACGGAAGCACCACTCCGCAGTCCCCACGGCCCAGGGCGGCGGAGAGCATGGAGGCGGTGCTGCTGGAGCACTTCCCCGGAGGCCTGGACGCCTTCCCGGCCGCGTACTTCGATGAAGACGACTTCTTCACCGATCACTCCTCCCGGGACCCGCTGGAGGACGGTGATGAGCTGCTGGTGGACGAACAAGCCGAGGTGGAGTTCCTCAGCCACCAGCTGCACGAGTACTGTTACCGCCGCGACGGGGCGTGCCTGCTGCTGCAGCCCGCGCCCCCGGCCGCCCCGCACGCGCTCGCCCCGCCGTCCCTGG